GGGGAAAACTTTTGTAGATAAGGGATGAATAAAGGGATAGGATAAAATTATAATTAAGCAAGTTGAAAGGGGTAAAATGGGCATGCAAATGTTTTGACACTTGTTTTCTCTTTTATAAATTGTATAGATGTATAGATATAGATTTTTCTATCCTTTTTCTTTAGGGGCTAGGGTAGAGCCGAAAGTTCTCCATTCATTTCCTTCTCTGCAGTGCACGATGACAATGCCTACTCCTTAGATACTTTATGGCAATAGGTTTTTTGTTTGAGTGAATAACTCAAAAGTTCTGCTGGTAGCTGCCTTTCTCTTATTATACTTGTTTTAGTCTTAGTTTTGTAAGAATAAAATAGGTCATCATGCCCTATTTTTACTTAAAAAATAAGCTCATCTCAACGTCAATATTTGGGTCTTGAACTGTAACATGGGGCAAATTCATACATAAAAATCTTGCACACCTTCACAAAAGAAAAATGCTAAGTACATCAAATCTATATTATATATTAAAACTCTTACCATTGAATATACCATTTGGCATTTTTCTATTATTTAATTATTTTTCTAAAATAAAAATAAAAACTGATTAAAAAACTACCCAACCCCCCCTCCCCCAACAAACACACACACACACACACTAGGGGTGGAAACAAAGCGAATTTGAACGAATAGTGTCTTATTCATATTCGAATTCGGCTCAATTAGTACTATTCGTGTTCGTGTTCGAATTCGACACGAATTCTATTTAGACTTCGAATTCGCTTCGTTTATTTGTGCTCGTGTTCGATAACTATTTGCGAACATTCAATTAACACTATTTCATGTTTTAATATCAAATTATTCATCAACTATTCAATATATATTCGACAATTATTCGCAAATCAATATACTAAGAAATTGTAATCTAAAACAACATAGCAATCACCAGTTACCAGCTTATCCAATAATCCAACTTATCTAGTAAGTCAGTATCACATTACCATATACATAGGAAACAAAGAGGTATTTTAAAGTGAAATTTGCTACACACCAAGATCTTAGCTCATACATAAAGAAGTTTTACAAATTTTCAAAAGAGCATAGAAGCAAAAAGTGTTCCAAAAGACTCCAGATTCTCCCAGTTTGATATTTTGGCCCTCATACAATGCTCTTTGTTGATCAAATCCTAAAAATAGAAACTAATCACATGAAAACAAAAAGGAAAAAATAATTAATGACTATATAAAACTACAACATTTAGCTATAGTCTAAGAAAGTAAGCTTTCTAACTATTACAGTAAAACACATCATATTCATAGTCATATTAATAATTTATGTTACCATGTGTTAAAGCTTATAATAGATGGCTAATGACTATAGATAGTTTCAGAAGATAATCATACCTGCAATTATTTAAAGAATGATAATGTAAGACCCCGTAGATTTTTGAGTATGTATATGTACATCAGTAATGAGGTTGAGTGTGCAAGATTTTGAATCATATGCAGCAGAGTCATAGTATGCAGTTTCTAGTCCATGAGTCGACCCATGACTGTCATAAGTCGACTCACGAAATCGAGTCCTATTGTCATTTAGTCTCTGCTGAGTCGACTCATTATATCATGAGTCGACTCATGAGTCATGAGTCAACCGATGACTGTCATGAGTCGACTCATCGGGGTTATTCTGATTTTCTGGGTCGTGTTTGTTTGGGTTTCGGGTCGGGTTTTATCCACTCATATATATTTTCTCTCTACCTGAAAACACTCTTTTTGATCAGAAAACCCTAGAGAAACCCTAGCCTCTTCTCCCCCTCTAAACCCTAGCTCGTTTTTGGGATTTCTTGGGTGATTTTTGGGGATTTTCAGCGGCCTTTCGTGGATTGCAGCGAAGGGGATTGTTCATCATCACTTTTGAGGCGAGTAACATCTCGCCCAATCCTTCTCCCATGCTTTTAATAGTTTACAAATGTTTTTCATGAGTTTTATTGAGCCTAAGACTTATTTTCAAGTATAAATCAATGTTCTTGTTAGGGTGAATGCTAGAAATCATGTGTTTCAGATTTTAAATCCTCACCAACGCGTTTTGATGAAAATCCAGATCTGGAAATATTTTTTAAGAAATAAGAATATGAGTTTTCTTTTTGACTAAATGCTTTATTTCATGTTTAGGAGTTAAAAGTTAGATCTAACATGCTAGTATCGTTTCTCATGCTATATACATGAATTTATCACTACCTCATAGTCTAGAATTGATAGTTATGGAGGTAAAGATTAGTATGTTGGGAGTATGGGACGAGATGGACGAGCGACAGTTGTGAAATTTCCAGTTTTCAGCCCGTGAGTCGACTTATGACTCATCATGAGTCGACTCATCAGGTTGAGTCGACCCATGACTGTCATGAGTCGACTCATGAAGCCCTTTCCTGCTATTATTTGTGTTCTGCTGAGTCGACTCATATTGAGCACGAGTCGACTCATCGCAGTATTTTCTATCTGTTTTCATTCGTGCTTCTGTTTAAATCATCTGCTGTATATATATTTAGATCTGTACAGCGAGGCATGCACAAGAGTAGAATATGTATACCTTTACTTCTAGTATTTCCATGGTTTATATATACAGTCCTCGTGTTGGACTATAATCCATTAAAGTCCTCGTGTTGGACTATAATCCATTTCAGTTTTATGTTGGATTATTGTTAAACCTTGAGTATGTTTATTAACCAAGTTTGGAACACAACATATTATATGAGGCTGGGACATGATAGTTACCTTGGTTGGACATGACATCTATAGTAGATTTGACAAGTTTACACGTTATCGGTAGAGATGGGTTTGTATTCTTTTTCTTTATTTGTTTCTTGTGTTAAACCTCGGGAATTGTATTTAGGGATTTACAATTTGAGATACAAGGTGTATACATGAGGGTTTCCTTGTTTGGATTATTTCACTCGATGTACCTATGCTCGTGTTGTAATTCCCTAAGTACTAATACCCACATTGGTTAGTATAAATGATTTATATTATTGTGTATTAATTGTATTTTCTTATGCAACGAGCCCTATCCCTTGGGGTTGGTTGTGATGTTGCTCGCTAGCGCTTTGACGCTCATTGTCCCTCCCCCTTTCAGGTAACGATCCAGGAGCCCGGAGAGTCGCAGGTTGAGGACGACCCTTACTAGTGTCTACAATCCTCTTTTTAGATGTATTTATTTTTGTACTCCACTTGAGACATTTTAGACTTGAGAGGTTTATGTTCTAGAGTTATAAAGGCTGTTTGCCTTATTTCTTGTATTAAACATTATGTACTTTGAGACATGTTGAGCTCTCCAGATCTTTATTATTCATTTCAGACTTTGACTGTGTACTTCAGCTTATTTTTGATTAATGAGATGTATTTATTTGAGTCCTATCATTCTATTAAGCAATTGTTGTATAATCTTTTACTTGCTTTGTACTACACCTGTTTTTGATTCCACTAGAGAGATAGTAATTGTGATGGTGAAACATGTTATTGTACGGTGTGGTGCATGGTAGGTTTGACATCTCTGGTTTCACCTCGGACTGCAGCCTTGTGTGAAACCCAGGGGCGTTACAGATAATCATACCTACAATTAACATTCTGGTAAGGTAATATCCACTTCTCTTACCTCATCTTCAACCTGTAATCATACAAACTAACTCAATATCAATAAATTTTATGAACTCTAATTTTTTGCATTGAATTTAAATAAATCATTACCTTCTTTTTCTTTATACCATGGACTTTTCGCATCCAATCCCCTCCACATATTAATGCTTCAACTGTTTTTGGATCTAAAAATGCTCGATACGTATCAATTACCCTCCCCAGCACTAAACATAGACTCTGATGCCACCATAGAAATAGGAACAACAAGAATATCAGTCGCCATTCTCAACAAGATACGCTACTTCAATTGATTCGTTTTCCACCAATTCAAAGCACTAAAATGGTAATTTTCTGCTTCACCGCATATATATACATGCTCATCCAAGTATGTTTCTAATTCTGATTTGGATGCAGGCATACTATCTTTTGTTCTCACCTTTTTCAAGATATCACTCCAGTTGGAACTTAAAGATGACAATGACGAGCTTGTATCACTCGAAGCACCCATAGAACCTTCCAGAGAGCTATTTTCCACATTATTTGAATTATGTAAAGCAACATACTCATCAAATAGCTCTTGCAAGGCATCTCTAACTTTCTGTATATTTATCTTAGCTTCTACTTCAGAGTAAATTTGAGGATAACAAATTTCAACCGCACCAATTTTTAGTCTAGGATCCATAACAGAAGCTATTGCCATTAACAAATTGCATTCTCCCCTATATTTTTCAAATTTATCTTGCATTTTTTTAGCCATTTTCCGAATAGAGAAATCATTATCTAGTAGCGACTTATCGATAACTTCTTTAATCCTATAGACTTCAATGAGATATAAATTAGAAGTAGGATAGTCATTACTAAGGATTAGATTCGTTACCGCATGAAAGACGACTAATAACTTACAAATTTTCTCTACTTTATCCCATTCTTCAGGTTCTGACATGCAATCATAATTGGACCCCCTTTCTTTGTACATTGGAAATGCATCTTTGAACTTCAGGGTAGTGGTCAACATTAAGTATGTCGAATTCCAACGAGTTGGCACATCAAGAATCAACTTCTTTTCTCTTAACTGCAACTGTTAAACAAAAAATATATACATAAGTATATTATTAGACTTTCACATAAAAAAAATATACACTTTAAAGATGACAATAGATTTGATATACCTGTTGCACAATAGCACAAAATGTTCTGAGCCTCGCTTCACTGTGATTGATGAACTTGATGCTTTCCGGCACATTCTCAATAGTTAATGCAAGTACACTTATCCCATCTTGGACAAGAAGATTGAGAATATGTGCACAACATCTCACTTGAAATAATTTTCCATTACAAACCAATTTCTTATGTCTAGATAGGCTAGTCTTCAAAGTTCTTAAACAAACATCATTATAGGATGCATTGTCCACAGATATAGTAAAAACATTATTTTCTATTCCCCAATCTTTGAAGCACTTATGCATAGCATCTTCAATGTCAATACCACATCGAGGAGGAGGCACATGCACAAAACTAAGAACTGATTTTTGTAGGTTCCAATCCTTATCAACAAAATGCACAAAACTAAGAACTGATCTTTGGATCGGTGGTTAAACTAACCCTATCCATGTTTTTAAGGAGTCCCTTCATCTTATTCTTTTCACTTTCAAAAATTATCATGCAATCTTCCTTCAAAGTTTTACGCCCAATTTTAATAAATTCAAGATTCACAATTTTCATTAGAAAAAGAAAACCCTCCTCCTCTGCTACAGTAAATGGATGTTCATGCATCATGACCCAATGAGCTAATGCTTCCCTAACTTTTAGATGATTATATTTTTCTCCAGGTGGTAACATGATTGGGCACTCTATAGTAGAACCATCTCGTTGAAAGTTAAGTGTTTGTTGCCTTTGATCAAGCAACTTTTTTGTAATGCAATTATTTAAATGAGTTTTCAAGTGAAATGTTGTTCCAGTTGAATTTTGTGCAAAGTCGTGCTTGCAATGATTGCATCTCCATCTTTTAACATTATTAGCATGAGTAACTTCAACAAAATTGTTCCATACCTCAGAAGTCTTTTTGCTTCTTCTCTTCTCCTGAATAGGATTTGTAGTCTCCACATTTTCTCTACTTGTATTATCTATATTATCACTGGAGGGAGTAGCTGGATAAGGAGAAGAAGTATTTGCAGAAGCAGAAGATGATAATGATGGAGCATGAGAATCACTTGCTGGAATCATGTTAGGAGATGACATTCTATAGAAACAAATTTTGAAAATCAACAATCAGAATATATGTACATAAATCAACATCTCTATCATGCATTAACCACGTGCTAAAAATAATTTGGGGGAAAATGTTTTTACAAAAAAAATTAACATAAAATATATGATGAACCTGACGGGGAGGAGGGCGTTGGATTTCGAGGAGGGCGTCGTCAGCTCGTCGAGGGGAGGAGGGCGTCGTCGGCTCATCGCAGGGAGGAGGGCGTCTTCAACTCGTCGAGGGGAGGAGGGCGTCGTCAGCTCGTCGAGGGGAGGAGGGCTTCGTCAGCTTGTCGCGGGGAGGAGGGCGTCGGAGAGGGAGGGAGATGGGACTGAGAGATGGGGACTTGGAGTTTGGCTGTTTCAGATCTAAGGTTTATGAGATGGGTCACTTGGGTTAAAGCACTTTATAGTAGGTCATGAGTTGCCAAGTGCAAATCTGAACCGTTCATTGATGATGCAAAGAACATGTGAAACCCTAGGTCCCTTAACTTGTTTATTTATATAATTATATATGGGTAGAAGTTATAATAAAAATTTTGATGGGTAATATTTACAACAAGTTTAATTAATAGGATCAACATGTAAAAAGTTATCGAATAGTTAATAATCAACTGAATTGAATATACCTTTAGTTAAATTCTATTCGTTTATAAGCCGAATACTGAAAAATATTCATTTAGTGTTAAATGAACTGTCGGATCGAATATGACCGAATATCTAGACTAATATTAGCCGAACTGTTTATTAAATATTTGGTTCACTTCCACCCCTAACACACACACAAAATCTCTCTCCAGCTGCGCCTTTTCTAAGACATCTTTCTGTTTTCCCAACAAAATGACCGTTACCCTTCTCCTTACAAATTTCAAATAAACTAATGATATTCATCTCATCTTTTCACAATGACTGTTACTCTTCCCTATGCTTCTCATTTTCCTATAATTCACATTTTTCTTTTCACAATGACTGTTACTCTTTTCCATGATTCTCATTTTCCTATAATTCACACTTTTCTCTCCGCCTCCTCTCTCTCTCTCTCTCTCTCTCTCTCTCTCTCTCTCTCTCTCTCTCCCCCCCCCCCCCCCCCCTCTCTCTCTCTCTCTCTCTCTCTCTCTCTCTCTCTCTCTCTCTCTCCCCCTCTCACTCTCACCCCCAATAATCCTCTCTGCTCAACGCTCTTTCACCTATATATCCACTACCTTATAATGGGATAACTGTTCCTCCCCCTCTAATACTGCCCCCCTAAATAGGCACCTCCTTTGCCTTAGCGCAGACAATAATTGTAAAAACGTCATCAAACGCCTTCGCATGGACTTGTTGCTCGCTATAAATAAATAATGAAGCTTGATCCATTGAAGAAGCTCTGCTTTCACTATAAGATATTACTTGTGTTCACATTGTAGGTTATGTTCAGCTAAATGCTGATTTAATAAAAACTTACAATTTTGGTAAGTTTGGGAACGAGCATTTAAGGGCTTCTTCATATTATTTTTTGTTTGACTGAGAAAGTGGGGGGCTTTAGGAAAAATTTTATTTGGTTGGAAATATGTTATTTCTTACCTTTTTGGGTATTTGTTTGAATTCAAATATTGAATCATTTTGGCTGTTCATCCCCAATTTACTTTTGTATTCAGTAACTTTGCTAAGTGGATATAAGATCCATATGATAGAAATAGGCGGGTAGAGTATGATGAGTTACTGTTTCATTTTGTAATTTTTATCTGGAACTAATGCATTACAATTTTCTATATTTATTTGGTAATTATGGAAGAATTAAATGTATGAGAAGTAGAATATTATGAAGAATTAATATTTTGTTGGTCATGAACAACTATAATAATCAAACATAGCCAGTATCAAAATTTATCATTTCCTATCTATTAAGTTGGGTTAAACTGATTATTATTCTTTAGAATTTCTCTAAGAAGATGTTCAGCAAAACCCCCTTCAACTGTGGGGGTTGTTGCACATAACCACACCCCCAACCTCAAGAAAACTTTATTTACCTTACATAACCCCTAGGAAAACTGAGTTTATCTTGTATTAACAAACCCCCCCACCACACCAAAAATAAAAATTAAATAAAATAAAAATAAAAATAAAAACTATATATGGTGTCTTACAAAGATCACATAAACTTTAACTTGTCTCACCCAACCTAAAAAAAGTCAAAATAAACCATAAAAAAACCAAATTATAAACTATATATGGTGTCGTACGAAAGCCCCCTAAACTTTTTAACACCCCCTACCCCGCTTCAAAGCAAAAAAAACCAAAATAAAAACTATATATGGTGTCTTACAAAAGCCCCTAGACTTTAACTTATCTCACCCTACCCCTTGCATGTAATTTTTAAAAACATAAAAATTTCTTGAGAGAAAAATCTCAAACTTTAGGGGAAGGGGTATTTTTCCTGTAAATGATAGGTGATCAACTGTGGGAATTTTTCACTCAAATAAAATTTTAATTATTTGCAAAGTACAAGCAGATGCTTTAGATGAGATAAGATAAAATTTAGGGGGTTTTCGGAGACAAGCCATAGTTCAAGGGGGTTATGTGAGCATGACCAGCAAGAGTCTTGGGAGTAGAAAGAAGAGGTACAAGTTGTTAATTCAAACATGTTGGACGCAGAGTCACGCCCTCACGCCGTAGAAATGATATAACCTGAGAGAAAGTCCTGACTTTTATTTTCACAAAAGCTCAAGCCAATCTCTATTTTCCCGTTTTACCGAGGAAACAAGAATAGAAAGTAAAATATCTTACCAAAGTGAGATATACACTCTTCCTCTCATCAGTTCTAGGACTGAATTGTCGAGGGAACCTACAAGAAATAGCCAACACCCAGAAAACAGTAAAGACACAAGATTTACATGGTGCGGCAAACTTGCCTATGTCCACGGGGAAGGGGGAGGAGAGATTCAACTATGAAGGAGAACACCGACAACTTGTACAACCCACAAGCTCGTCCCAAAGATAAAGCTATCATTTTTTACCCAAAAGAAACTGACATATCTCTTGTAAAATCTCTTCAAACTCTCTTTTTCTCTCCTCAAGATCTCAGATCTAAGCCTCCTGAAAACTCATCAAAACAGCGACTAAACCCTCTGTTTTTCTCCTCCGGCTAAAAAAACCCTCTATCCTTTTTTTTTCTTCCCGTGCATAAAAAACCCTAGTTGTCAGGTATTTATAGGAGAGATGACTTGGGTGGGCCGCACCCATACTTGGGCTCCGCGTTGCCTCTGCGTTTGTGCCTTCACGCTCGTGGATGTGGCCCCACGTTCCTGGGCTCTGCTTTGCCTCCGTGAAAGGAATATAGCCCTCATGTTCACAATTCTTCACCTCGTACGTTATTTAATAAATCTCAAATTTTGGAAGAACACCAGAAGAAAACCGTGAACATTTCAGAGAGATCTAAAATACTAAACCAGGCCAAACCAGGTGCACCTGTAAAACCCTAAAAATTTGAATATTATATGAAAAATAATAATAAATATGTTATATGGTAAAACTAAAATATATTTTAATGTTTTAGTATGATAGGAATTGATTTGAGATTAATTCAATGTATATTTATGAATATATGAGTGCAAATGCACAAAACATGCACAAAGAGAAATTTGGAAAAATGACCAGTTAAGAGTTCATATATTTTACACACCGACACAGTTTGAATCAGGAAAAACTCAAAAGGCCAAATTTGTAGGTATCTTCAACAGCTTTCCAAAAAATCTTAAATCACCTTATTCCGAGGTAGGATGAGACAGTTACAGCCAAAATACCAAAGGTCATTTTCCTAGTCAGACTAGGTTTCCTGGTTCGGGTTAAACGAGTTTATTTCGGGTTTCATATATATATATATATATATATATATATATATATACATGTGTTTTTATAAAAATTATCATCTTTTTATCAGAGTTTCAAACCTTATCAGTCCCTCTTCCTCTCTCTCAAACCCTAGCCCTAAAATTGAGATTTTGGGAGCGTCTTGTGAGACAAGAAGCGAGGAAAAGGTGAGATCTATGATGTTTGGCGACGAGGAGTCATTTCATATCAGTTTCAGAGGCTTGCACACGTGATAAGGCAAAATCATCTGTATCCAAACACATCCCCATAGTATTTAATGATTATAAAAGTGTTTAACCAATATTTTCATGCTTAAGGCTTAACCTAATATAAAAAAGATGAGATTTTTTATGATAAATCTTAACCCAATGCTAGATCATTAGCTTTTCCTAATTGTTTATGATAGTAACGTGATCATGATTATTAGGGGTGATTAAATTTTCATTTTTAAAATTTTATAATTATGTTAAACTCATGTGTTAACCCTAATTTGTTGTCTAGTTGAATTATAAAGAGATTTAGTTTTTGTTTTCATCATAGATTGCAGAAAACTGTTACACATGTGTAAAATTTAACTAAAAATATGAGATATCATATAAACTCCAAACTAAACAAAACTAGTGTTAAATGAAAGCTATGTGAATATATTTTCCAAAACGGAAAACCGTTCTAAGAAAGAGTTTTTATAGAGAAAGATATACTCAATTTTACTAATAATATGTTCTTTAAATAACTACTGCACGTGTGTAACTTTAAACTAGAAATTGGAGATATCATATAATAATTCCAAACTAAACTAAACTAGTGTCAAATGATAGCTATGTGGATCTAGTTTTTAAAACAGAAAACTATTCTTAAAAACAGTTTGTCTAGAGAAAGATATGTTCAATTTAGTAATGATATGTTCTGCAAAAAACTATAGATATGCTGATTTAAAATAATTAATATATTACATGAAGGTTTCTTTGAGTTTTTATGTTAATTAATCATGCTTAAACCCTAGGTTTATGATACTTAAGTAAGATAAACATGTTTAAATGAATTTTATCTCTATTCATGAGTAGTTTTTATCATGTGTTGATAATCACTTTGTTTACATATGAGGTAATTGAAGAAATTATTTAATTAGGATGTTAAACCCT